CTTATCTTTGGAGCACATTGTTACAGAAATTCTAGCTGCATATCGAGGCATTAAGTCTGCTTCCAGATAAGCCTGGCTGGCTTAACTTTTCTCCTTTTTCATTCAAGATAAGTGCTCTAGTGCAGGGGACCAACAAAATGTAATTTTAGTCTTTATATATCTATTAATTTGCCATGTCCTTGCGTACAACATTCCATGAGCAGCCTCTAGATGAGACTGGCTCTCTCTGTATTCCTTTCTCTGACTTTCTTTCCCCTGTGCACCACACATGGTAACCTCACCAATATAATCCTTTCACTTGCTGCTAATTCTCCGCTTTGATTTTCACTTCCAACACTCCAACTACAATGTGTAATTTTAATTCAGACAGCAATGTTACTAGAGCAGTGAGGGTTTAGTAGGTGTAGGACACAAACACATTTTAACACATGTCAAATAATGTGGATTCAATGTTCAGGAATATTGTGAAAGTAGTTAGCTGTGGATAAAATCCTGAAATTAATTCTCCCTTGGAAATCTCAAATCCTCAGGAAAAAAAATAGTTTTTTCTCAAACAATTTAAAAACACATTTTCAGATATTTCCACTGTAGAGCACTAAGGATTTTAAATACAGGCAGGCCCATACTATCCTGTCAGGAGGACTTTTTCTTCCCCTGAAGTCCATTTTTCCTCTCTCTGCTGTTAAGTTACTATTATCTTCCATTCCTTGTAATAATGGGCTTAAGATCAAGTGAAACTGGAAATGGAAAGAACAGTGAAAGATGACAGACTTGAAGGGGCTTTACTGGGACTATGGCTTGCTCCTGAGGTCAGAATCAGTAAGTATAATTAGATTCCTGGCATTTACAACAAATGTAAAGCAACTCAGAGCTCCCTTTTGTGTGCCTGTAATTAAACATGCACTTTTACTGCCCTCTGCAGTGCTCCAAAGTATCTTTGATTCCAGCACATGAAAGTGGAATGAAAGAGCAGGCACAAATCTTCATCTCTATATTGCACTCATATTTCTGAAAACAAAGTATTTCTCAGCAGAAATGGAACAGCCCCTTTCTAAAGAAACACAAAAGGGAACGTTGTTTTTGTTAATAATTAGAGCCATCCCTGTACCTCCCAGGAACTTTCTCAATAGAAACTTGGATAGACAGAAAGGCCCCAACACAGACAGCTGGGCCCCACTTTAACCCACAAATATAAGCTCCAACTTTTCCACTCAAAATGAAATTATTTCTCGAGCGTTTGAATCAGAACCTTTTGGATAAATTAGTTTTCTCTTGTGCTCAAGCACAATCCAAGAGGTAAGAGACAAGCTCAAAGAATGAATAGGACTGGTAATCCAAAAATACAGTGGGGGCCAGAAGTGGCAGATGTTACATCTTGGTTCCTTGTGTGTTTTGTATTACCCAGATACCACAAAATTAAATACAACACAAGTAGAATAAATTCTGCTCAGCAATACCACTTTCTCTCCTAAATAAAGTATATATACCACATCCTAACTACGCTGTTTTCGTTGAAAATAAAATGGATTTTTGACACTGTCAGAAGTAACTTCAATCTCTTAACTATCTAAATAATATTTTGGCAAAATTTTTCCTAATTGTAAGGAAGCACTCAAACTTAATTTTGAACAGCTAGTAAATATTCTTCCCACATTTTGAGAAACCATATAGAAGAAAACAACACAGAAGAGTAAGAATGTCCAGTAAGGTCAAAGTTCTTTCAAAAGGGCTCTTGTACCAGCCCACTTTTGAAAAACAAGTGCCTCATCCCCCAGTTTTCCTCATAGATCCATACTCAGGAATCTGTAGTTGCTCCACATGTGCTTTGCCTCCACACCAGGGCTTTTATTTACATTAGAAACACAACAAAGCAGATAATCCTGAAAATAACTCCAGTAGATATGTGCATGAACAAAAGGTTGTTTGAATGGTATTTTGGACTCAAAAACAGATTCATGGAACAAAGATGGTTTTAGCTTGTCTTTCTTGGAGGCTTAAGGGGTTGTACTGGCAAATCTCTCCCAAAATCTGTCCTGCCCCCTCTAATTTTTGAATTGTCTGTCAGATACTGAACAGAAAGTTACATATGTTCCTTGAAGCTTTATGTGACAACAGCTAAGTCACGAAGGAAGACCCAATTAATGTCCAAGCGAAGGAAAAGTTGGGACAGCTCAGCTCTTCAGTGTTCTGCCTTGCCACCCCATCCACACACACATACCAACAGCCCACCCAAAACCAGATGGAGCTTTAAATTATCCATAGCCATGACTGCTGTCAGTTAGCCAGGTTTGGCATGAGGATGCTGAAAGAGGATAAGGCTTGGTGTGAAGGGAGTAAGAGAAACATAAACCAGAAGGCACAGGTCTATAAAAAGCAGGGTTGACAGGTTCTGCTGCCCACGGAACAACCTGTTCAGTTTTATTTTTAAAGGAATTTAACCTAATAAGGCTAAAGTTTGACAGCAGCACTTGCCCGTTCTCCATCTGAAGCAAACTCCATTGCATGCATCTATGCACAGCTGAACATATGGATGTCACTTTTCCACGAGATCTGTCACCAGACACTGCCCTAAGTGCATGGGGTTAGCCCACATTTAACCACTAGAGGGCTTTATTCTATCACAAAAAACAAGTTTTCCAATTCAGCGTTCAGTACCTTGGGAAAAACATCCAAACTCGGATAACACAACTGTTCTCTTCAAATGCCAGCCATAAAAACTAAGGTCTCTAAGTAGCTGAGGGCAAAGGGGAATAATTTGTAGGATTAAATACACTACTATGGATGGCCAGCTCCTTCAGGAAAAATTAACAAATCTGAGACTGTTTCATAAACAGCTACTGGACATGGACCAGTTACATTTCCAGGCTGGAAAATGCTCACACATACCTAGTTCCTGGAGGAGTGTGTGTGCTGAATAGCACGGACCTGAAGAGCTGAACAATTTCCCCACATTATACCAATAGCAGAATCTTTTAGTCAGACTCCTGTATTTCCTCCTCCAATACAGATTCCAAAGAACACACATCACAAAATCCTAAGGACTGTCACAGAGAACTTAAATGACTCAAAAAGACCGGGGTTTTGTTTGTTTTAATAGTATTTGTTCATGTATTACCTTCTCACAAAGAACCATAATAGCAGTCTCAGATATCATTCCTAGATAATTTCTGGAATTAATATTTTTGCTGAAGCTATGGATAAGGTTTAGCAATAAAAATTGATTTTCAGAGACATGGAATCTTTCAGATTAGTAGAGTAATAAATTTCTGTACAATAAGCTCTGAAATGTGTGTCTCCTCTAGCTATCTCAGTGGATAATTATTGGTTCAATACAGAATCATAGAATGGTTTGTGTTGGAAGGGAGCTTTAAAGATCATTTTGTTCTAACCCTCCCTGCCATGCACAGGGACACTGTCTACTAGACCAGGTTGCTCAAAGCCCCATCCAACATGTCCTTGAACACTTCCAGGGATGGGGCAGCCACAGCCTCTCTGGGCAACCTGTGCCAGGGCCTCACCATCCTCACACTAAAAAATTAACTTCCAATACCCAGTCTAAACCCCTCCTCTTTCAGTTTAAAACCATTGCCCTTTGTCAAAGGTCCCTCTCCAGCTCTCTTGTAGCCCCTTTAGGTACTGGAAGGTGCTGAAAGGTCTCTCTGGAGCCTTCTCTTCTCCAGGCTGAACACCCCCAGCTCTCCCAGCCTGTCTCCATAGGAGAGATGCTCCGGCCTTCTGAGTATCTTCATGCTCTAAATGGTCCATGTCCTCCCTGTCCTGGGGTTCCCAGAGCAGGATGCAGCACTCCAGGTGGGGTCTCACAAGAGTAGAGGGGCAGAATCCACTCCCTTGCCCTGCTGGCCATGCTGATTTTGGTGCAGCCCAGGACACAGCTGGCTGTTCATCCCTCAGCCTGGATTTGTGCTTGAGAGACTGCCCTCACCCACGTGCTTTCTTATTTCAAACCCAGGTCTAAGTAGCCTTAACCTTATGAAGGCTCTAAACAATCTCCTGAATATTCCACTGATCCAACCTGTTTGGGCAGCTATAATGGGGTAGAAAAACTTATTTTTTAAAAAACAATTCTACTGGCTGTTCTGATACTCAGGTATAGGACTGACACACCACCAGCCCCTGCCTCCCCTTAAAAATCTTAAATAGTTTTTTCTCTACTGTGTCATTTAAATCTCCACTTAAAGGATGAGTTACAATTTACTCCAGGGTTATTTAAGGTTTCCCTATCAAGTCAAGCTACCAGATTTTGAGTGTCTAACATATTAGACAGCTGTAAGCAGTATTACTAGCTAAGATACTTGAGTTGAAGAGTTCAAGTGTCTCCACTGAGCCTGAGTGTTGTAACATCAACACCTAAAAAACTTCATTTTAGAGATAAACCCAAGTGAGGTGACTGTAAAACAGATCCTGTTAGTAAACAAGACTGAAGTGTCCACCCAGCTCTTCCAGCAGTTTTTCCTAGAGAACAGAATTTGTTAACCAGCTAATGGACATTACTAAATTAAAACTGCTTCTAAGGAGTCTGTAAAAGGTCAACAACAGGCCCACTGTAACTCAGACTCAAATTCACTCTGGTGCCCTGCACAGAAAATAAACAGTTTTAAGGTCCTGCTCAAAGTCAGAGGATGGTGCTAACACAAGTATACCCCAGCCTAGCATCAATATCTCAGATGCACAGCTTCCAGTCTTCTCCTGCATTTTGTTATCCACAGAACATTGCCAGTAGGAAATGAAGCTGAAGAGTCATAAGTAAAAGTAAAGGCAATTCCATTTATTTTCCAGCAACATCCCATGTAAAAGCAATAGAAACATTAACTGCTCTCAGCAGAAAATCTGTACAGTTGTTATCATTTACAACAGTTTTACATTTAAAACCAGCAAATTAGAAGAACCAAGAACTTTCCCTAGACGTTGTTTTCTTGACTGTATTAACAAATGACTGATGACTATTTACAAATTTCAAATTCAGGCTAATGCTTAAAAAAAAAAAAGCCATTATTGCATAGGCTTTAGCATATTGACCTCCAATTTCTCGAGAGAATTTAATTTCCAATTGTTTCTGAAATGTTTTTGCAAATAAAGGGGTTTTTTTAGGGTAGGTAGTTAATCTTACAGTAAGTAACTGCAGTAGATGAGTTTACTAGTTACTAATCAGCTACGTGGTTCAGCTGCCACATGCATTACTTCAAGTCAGACTTCTGTAGATGTCATAGCAAAGGAATATACAAAAATATCTCCCTACTTCGCTCTTTATCTGCAGGTGGTGGGCAACTGAAATTACGGACACAGTGGGGGAGGTGGTGCTGGGGAAACTGGTGAGATCTTGCTGTACTATTCATAATTACTTGAGGACAGCACTGCCTTTGGCTAGTTTTTCTACTGAAGAGTTTTATAAAAAAAATCTGATATACATAAATTAAAAGTTAACAAGAAGTCACACAACTTAATCACAATTTTACATAAGTCTGGTCTGGAGAATATGTAGACCAACCATGACTTTAAAAAGAGTCTTCAACTTTGCTTAAGCTTTCTTACTATTAACAGGTTATGAATCAAGCTAACCTCTCAAATTTAAAGGAAACTTTCTCTAAAACAGTTTGCATAAGACTATTTAACTCACAGTATCAAATTCTTTCAGTGGTTCACTCAAACACACTTCCAGGTCAAATTCACCTTCTGCTTGATACTCAACATGTCTGAGTTTCGTGGGAGTGCCAGAACACCTATCCTGGAAGACCAAGGCAGTTAATAATTAGCAGTTAAGTACAGATTTAGTTAGGCAATAACCCAATTAACTTCTGTAATTCAGCTAGACCACCCTATAACAGAGGCTTACAAACACTTTAAAGGCCACACAAAACCCCAAGGCTAGTCTTAAGATTACAGAGATTTAAATGCAGGCTTCTGCCCATTCAACCACATTTGAAGATTTCTTGCAAGTGTTTTAAGGATCTATATACATGAAAATATACAGAGTTAATATTCATCAGAAAAAAAAAGAAATATCCAGTAAGAAAAGCATTCTTAGATCTTTACTGAAGGTTACTGCTCAGCTGTACCAAGTGCCCTGTGGATATAAAAGAAGCCTAATTCTGTGTGCCAAGAAAATCACACCCTATTTTAACATTAGGTATTGCAATCTAAAGCATTATTTGCATTCTATGTTACAATTCACAACTGATTTGCTTTCAACAGATACAATTTTCTTTTGTAGGCTATGAAAAATTAGATATTTGTAATTTGACATGACTTAAAATTCTAACTCTCTAAGTCCAAGACTACAGAGAGATATTGGCTATAGCAGGAAAATATCCAAATTTAAAGATTACTCAGCTTTATAAACAATTCCTAAAACATAACAGATGATGGAATTTGTCAGGTATTCAGGCTACTTGGGATAAAGTTCTAAGTAAGGAAACAATTATTAACAAATTGTTAACAAATATATTTATGCAAATGACAGATATGCTTACATCATTATCTTGACAGCTTGTTTGAGATTCAGAATTGCTTCCAACAGATTCTGTCTCCATCTCACCAAGGTCAACAGGACAGCTGTAAAATCATTTAAAAGAATACAACACAAAACAAATTCATTTTTTAATGTTCAGTTGCACTTTGTGGTGCAGTTCTGAAAACAGTGAGCAAAGGAGAGCAAAGAGACCCAGAGGGATCAGAGGGACAGTGGTGGCAAACTGGGGAAGGCAGATGGAACAGCAGGTCAGCTCCACACAGCCAAAATGAATTAAAGTCTTGAGACTAAATACTGCAACTTGTCAAAGACAAAAATGCTTCAATACAAATGATAACAAGTGTTATGGAAGAGGGAAGAATTTTTTTTCCCCAGACAAGGTTTTCATCAATCTGTTTTGCAAAGAAGGTTTAATATCCACTGTACATAGACCTAGAACCCAGGATCTAAAGATAAGACTATTATTTCCACACCAAAGCTTTGCTTTTAGATCCCATTGCTCCACATTGGTTTTAAAATCAGCACTGTTAGGGAAAACAGCACTTCATTAACACAGAACTGCTTACTGAGGAATTAAGTTAAATCTGTGTCCCCTTCATTCCTTTATTACCACAGTTTTTATTTTGGATGTTCCCTGATCAGCTGTATTGCTTTCTACAGAGGAAAATAAGCAGTTGCAGTACTCTGCATCTTTTAGAGTTTCTGCAGCTTGGACTGTGAACACTTGTAGACATGCTTTGAGTTTAATGGTACCTTAAGATGATTTCACAAGTTCTTCTCTCCTCCTCTCCGCTCAAGAAACAACATTTTTATACCACTGTTCTTGAACTAGCAAGTGAGAAGGATGTGAGGCACGTTCTTGTACACTGTGTTGGTCCAAGCTCAATATTCAGGGGATCTGCCCTTGGTGAGAACTCTCCAGCACTGCTCCTACCACAGATCAATCTGCAAACTGCTCTGAAAGAATCAGCTCACCTCGACAGTGTGGTGTTTTCTTTTGCAGAGCACTGCAGAATGAACTGTTTATTTTTTAGACATGAGACTTGACATATTAGTTTCTGTAAAAGCATCTTGAACGCTCTGTACATACATTTCTTGCAGATCACATCCTCCTTCAGTCGGTGGATCCCAGGAATGCAGTGCAACTTTCCACAGTTTGATCTGCTGGTCCCATGACCTGCGGCTGTACTTCTTGAATTTATTGGGAGTTCTGGGATGGACTCCTGGTACACGATGGCACCTATTAAGATATTAGAAGTGAAAAAGTAGTGGTTTTCACACATACATAACATAGTTTTAAATGCTAAGTCTTACAGCCTGTATTATTTGAGAAGAGACTACTGGGCAACTCCAGCACTCAAGAAAAGGTTTGCCCACTCCATATGAACTTGGTAGTTTCTCTGATTTCAAGTCAAATGAAAAACAAAAAAAAAGGGGTTATCAATCACAGGTGTGGAAACCTCATTCCAGACTCAAGAGCGACTGTAGCCCATTTTGTCTTGTAGTTAACTCATGAGAAACATCGACTGCAAAAAGCAGTTTCATTTCCTCTTGTTGACAAGCACAACTAAAAGAACTTTCATTTCCATTTCTGCAGCACGAGGTATTTCTCACAGACTGCCTAGTTAAAAGAAAACCACACCTCATTTGAGTGTTAGTGTGACACTTCACAGTTAAAAAAGTCTTAAAACTTTTTTTTTTAGATACTTTCTATTTGAATGTGTGTTGGATACCAAGTTTAGTACATTAAACACGCTTACAGAGAACAGGTAGGACTTACAGTTCAGTTTTCCAGGAAGTCAGGCAGCTTACCTAGGAACTTCTTTGACATATCTATCATATGCAATTGTGTTTTTTCCATAATTTATCTGTTTCTGTCTTCTCATTAAAACCACTTCATCTGTCTCAAGTTCTACTGTCGCAGTGGACTCCTTTGAATCAGAACTGAAGGAAAAAAACACAGTAGATTGGGACTGCTGGAGAACAAGCCACATTCAAACAAACTCACTCGTAAAAGGCTACAAACAAACACCTTAAAACTTTTCAAACAGATGCTCTGGATGTTACTAAATTACACTGTAGGAGGAGACTTAAAATGAACTATTTTAAACTGAGCGTTTCAAGAAACAACATGGTGCACGTGAAAATGCAGACTTGTTTTCAAAATTTCCTCAGCTAAGCTAGAAATTTAACCTACCTTCCTGAGGAGGACTTCCTTTCTCTTGAAAATTCATTTATCAGGAGTTTTCTTCTGTATCTGTAAGAGTTCAAATCAGGATTAAGAATATATGTAACACAAAGAGAATATTAAGGCTCAGCCTCACAGTTGATTTTACTTTTCAGCAGTAAAGCAGCAGCACCCCAGACACTGTAAAACACCTTTCCACTATGGAATGGATGTTTCAGTTTTCCCTAATTAAAAAAAAAAAAAGCAACTGAGGACTTTCTTTTTCTACAAAATTCCCCTATTCTTATAGCAATGATATGAAAAAAACCAGCCATTAGTGAGACAGTCCTTAGACATATTTCAATCTAGGAGATTCAGGAAAAGCTTCTTCCAAAAGGGAGATACTTAGTGATACACATCCACTCTCCAGTGAGCATCCCATGACATTCCTGCAGGACTTAAGCCAAAGTTGACCTAAAAGCAGCAGCCAAGAGGCTAAGGTGGGCCTGATTTTACTACAGTGGTGAAGTTAAAAATACAAGTCAGCACAGATTCTACAAGACAACTACCATTTCCCCTCTTTTCCCCACTTGACCCTAAATACCCAGGGGTACCTTGCAATTTCTTTGTTGACATTGGTCCTCATTTCCTCTTCTTCCACTGCAGTTCCCCAGTCTGAACACCGGGAAAGGGGTCCAGGGCCTTCTGGTGTTGTAAAACTAGAATGAAAAGGAAAAAAAAAAAACCCTATGTTAAAGTTTTGTTTTATTGTATTTCCCACCCCCAGCATCTCCTTCAATCACAGTTTGACCCCCATTTAATGTGTTTATTCAGACTACTCACAGTGGCTGTGAAAAATCTTGTGCTGTTCTATTAAAATGTCATCACTGTAAAATTAAGCATCAGTTCAGAGTTCCACCTTGAGGTTGGGTGGTTTGTGTTGGGTATTTTGTCTTAAAAAGTTAATTTAGGTATCTACAGAAACATAGCACTGTAGCATGTAATGCAGCTCACCCTTTCAATAACTTTCAGCTGGTGTCCTTCAGAAAACAGTACATGAAATACCAGCTTTACTCACTCACTTATTTTCACTCCACCAAATGACTTAAGAATTATTTATTCCTTCATGATTGCAGACCCATTAGCTATGTAAGAGACAGAAGTTAGAACACAGAATTAAGATGTAAAGTTAATTAATTAAAATTACACCATAGCACCAGGAGTTTCTCCATGTGAAAATATGCCTCATAGAGAAAGCAAAGGCACAAAAAAAGTCATATTTTAACCAGCAAACCGAGATTTGCTGTGACTTTGCAAACTGGCTTAACAACTTTATTGCAGCCCATTAGCATCACAAGCAGGTTCAGAGTCTTGCAGGGGAATAAGCTCAGACCCCTTCTCAGCCATCTGTAGCTGCCTACATTTAGACTATTCAGTGTTTTCCAGTTTCTGTCCTCCTGATGACCAATTTTCCTTAAGTACAAACTGAAAACTGTATCCTCCAGAGCAGAGCTTTTTCAGAGGATCTTGAAATGCTCTGGACACTTACAAGGATTATGGACAAACATGTCCCCTGAAGTCAGGGAATTAGATCCATCTACACTAAAACCAGCTTCAACTCCCTCCCTGCTCCCAAGTTGTCTAAAATTCTTTTAAAATGAAACCCAGTAACCAACTCAGCAAAATTAAAAATTCAGAGCAAACAGTACAGGTCCCTCTGCAAATATCTGTTCGATCTATATGGATTCTTAGCATTTCCTGATATTGATTTCTAGTTTTGCAGAGAGCACAGGCCACGTTCAATTATTGCTCTCTGGTGCTAGAGAACAAACAGCACAAACCCAGCAGTCCCAACACCTGAGCTTCTTCCTCAACATTGATGTACCTTTACATACTTGTTTGATTCTGCACCTGTGCAGAGAATTAGGGACAACTGGCAGGGCTCTATGGCTTTTTCTTTTCATTAATTTGCTCTGGTGCCAGACATACTGAGCTCAGCCATCTTACTCAAGACCCTCATCCCCATTTCACACCTGGTGAGAGGTTCTGTTGCTGTGCTAGGACTGTAAATGGTGCTCAAACACTGCCACAGGAGCAGAAAAACAAGGCTACAGCTGGCCCCACCTGAGTCTGATGTATGACCCAGCCTCCATCCTGCTCCTCTTTGCTTTTTAGAATTTTAATTTGGCAACGTTGAATTGGCATAAACAAAAAAAAATAGTAAAAAAAAATTTATCACAGGAAGAGAACAATTTCAGTCAGAGCTGAATCGAAACTGAAATGAAAAAAGTATCCCTGCTCCATTTAATACTGGAAGACACACAGAAACACTGCTTATTTAGGTTGAAGCTGATGAAACTATCTTTAGTTTCATTCTTGTAGTCCTATTCAAACATGCCTTCTGAAATCAATTTGAGTTACTTTGCATATTGTAAGTTGAGCCGTTGACCAACATCTTCCCTGCCCACTATCAGGAAAGGAAAATGGGTAGTTACAGGGCACAGCCCACGTCATTTTAGATTTGAAACCTAAATTCAATCTTCTGGGGCTGTGGCCACAACTCCCATCTGCTGATCAAAGTCACTAAAGGGACTTGTGGCATTCATATCTTGGACTGTAAATGTGATACTTCAACTAAAATGAAGTTCAGCTGTGCTGGGCAATGGTAAGGAAGGCAGAAGAGCAGCAGTGTGAACACACTGGGAGACCTCAGAAGTGGATTGCCCCCCACACGTGCTGACACTTCTCAGTGTAGTCTGTACTGCCTCCAAAAACAGGAAGGCAGATGACTTCTAAAAATCCAATTTTTGTCATCTTTTTTAATTTTACCACAGCGGTTTGTACAGTCTATATCTACAGATAAACAAATGTCCTGTACAACTATTACTTTGTGATAAATGGCAATAAGCAACCAGGAAATAGGGCAGAAAATTATCAATACAATTCAAGAGATAAGAACTAAATATTCACTCTTCAGAAGTGACTCCAGGGTAGGAGCACTGCCCGAGATCCTCTTCCCTCCTTTAAGACCAGCTATTTATGGCTGATGAGCGACCGATAGGGCTTGGAAAACTCAGCAGAACAGCCAGTTCACAGCTCCTGGCGAACAAAAAGAGCCGGGAGACGCTCCCGTGGCCAGCCTCGCTCACCTGTCCTGCCGGCTCTCCGCAGGACGGGGCTCGTTTTCCTCAAAAACCGAGGATTCGGGCTCGTTCTGCCTCCGCCGCCTCCCATCGGCGCCGCGTTTCCGCGCCTGGGCCCAGCGCGGGGGGTGCTGCGGGCTGGAAAAAAACCACGGAAAAACACAAGGTGAGCACAAACCAGGCGGGTTTTAGCGCATTAAAACCTCCTTCAGACATCGTAGGTATTTATTTACTCATTTCACTCCCACAAACCCAGCGAGGCGGCTCCACTCGCCCCCTCTGAGTGGGCTCCCCCCCCCGCCCACCACCACAAGCACACCTCAGGCCCGGAGAGCTGGGCCGCGCCACCCCCCGCCTCACCCCGGCGACACTACCTGCTCTTCGTGCTGCCGTGAGGGCTTCCGCTGGCGGAAGGACATGGCGAGGGGTGTCCTCGGCAGGGAGGGCAGAGCGGTAGGGGTGGAGCGGAGCGGGCGCAGAGGAGAGCCGGGCGTGAGGGGGGAGCGAGCGGGCGGTGAGGGGAGCGGAGCGGGCGCTGAGGGAGAGCCGGGCGGTGACGGGGGAGCGGAGCGGCGCTTGACGGGAGGAAGCCGGGCGGTACGGTCGGGAGCGGAGCGGGGCGCTGCGGGGACACAAGGACAGAAGGAGCGCCGCCGCCTTCCCGCTCGGCCCCTTCACATCTCCCGCCGGCGGCTGAGCGGCAGCGGCCCGCCCGCCCCCCGCCGGACGCCTCCAGGGGACAGGTGCGGGAGGGGGAGAAGGGGAAAGCGCAACTCCCCGCCCCGCGCCTTTACACACCGATACACACCCCACACCCCCCCCTCCGGTAGTGTGGTGGTTCAGCCCGCTCCGCCCGGCCCCGCCCCCGGGGCGTGTTGGCGGGAGAATCGGTTTTTGGCGCGCGCCTGAAACAACAGCAAAAAAAAAACAAAAACAAACCAACAACAAAAAAACCCACAAAACCCTAGCCGAAACAAAAGGAAAAAAACCCACAGATCTCCGCGATTTAAATATGAAGGATGGCCGGTCACCGACACAGCTCTTCTGCACCTCTTCAGGGTATTTCAAGGGACGGTTCAAACCCTACGGCAGACGGTTACATTTATGTTGTTTAAAAAGACATGCCGTTAAATAGTATTTCATATCAATAGTGAAGGAAGTTGGGTAATGCCACGAGGTTGCTATGCCTTGGTAAGCAGAGCTTTCAGGTGTTTTTAACAGCACTTGCATGCACAGTGAGATCCTGCTCATCCTGAGAATCCCGCACACACTAACATTTTGCAACAGTAATTTATAAACAATCCGGAGAACTCCTGCAACAGAATACGCACAGCTTTAAACAGAAATACCTTTGCAGCCCCTGTGGCCTGAAGGCTGGTGGACACTTCAGAAAGATGCAGCACACTGAGTTTTCTTCTTCTGGCCTTACAATCACAGGATCATTAAGGCTTGAAAAGACCTTTAAGATCATCAAGTCGATCCATTAACCCAGCACTGCCAAGGCCACCACCAAACTATGTCCCCAAGTGCCACATCTAGTAAAACAGACGTCAGAAGCAGCAAACAGAAATTGTCTGAGGTTTTTTTTTTTTATGTGTGGTTGTTTTTTTTTTTAGTATCAGTTTAAAACACAAAAGCAACTACTGAAGTGCAGCAATGCTTTCGGAGAGACTTTCTGAGCACAGCGACAGGGTGGTGTTTGGTTTTGATTTTTTAAAAATAAAGATATGCTTCAGCCTTGTGATGCACAAAGGATGGTGAGAGGAGGATTTGCATCTCCAGCGTGGAAATGAAGCAGAGTTTCACAAACTACAAATTTCTCATGTAATTATTCACAGAAATGGAAGAGGCCTGGTACTGTGCCTGGTGTTTCCAGCCATCACGTACACAGCTACGTGCCTAGTGCTCCTGACTGAAATCAGTACTGTTTTGAGAACAGGTAAGCAAGAACTGTGTTTACTTTCCACTCATTTTTCCCCTGAAGGTTGTACACAGGTCCTGTACTTTTCTCCTCAGAGCATCTCTGCTGTAGGATGTGTCCAAAACGCCTGGCTCTGGGTGGTAACAGTCAGGCTAGCTCCCACTTAGATCTGAAAATAGTACTATGAAGGGATTTACCTTGAAAATTCCTTTCCTGTTGCCTGGACTTACTGTAATTGTACAAGCTCACATCTTTCTGGGTGGCATCTGCATGGACACCCACACTGCTGCAGTAAAGTCTGCTCTGCCAGCACCTCTCCGTTCCCACACACCACTGTGGAAAACAGAACTGTGTTCCTGAACCAAGGACATGCTTGAAGCACAGCACAGGTTCCAAATATGTAAAAACAAACTCCACTCCCTTCGGCCTGGCTCTGAGATAAGCTGACTGGAACAGCATGTTTACCTGAACACATCCAAGCAAGCCAGACAGGACAGCTCCAGTCTGGAAGCCACACAGTGCTTTTAGCATAACACTACATACAAATTAAATTCAGTTTATCCAGTAGAACTATCTGCTGTGACACAGCTCAGGGACTGCAGCTGCCTTGCATCTTTCTGTCCTTGTCAGCAATAAAAATCCTTCAGAAAAGCAGTTTCACACCACAGTGGGAAATTTAGGGAGGAGATATCCTCAACTGTGATCTCAAAGCAGGAGTTTTACAAACAAAAGGTACACACGAGCTATGGCATTTCAGAACTGCCAGTGAAGGAAGGTTTCCACAGACACAGATAATGTATCATCTGTAAGGAGATCCTCACAATGGAATCATGCCAACACAAAATACTTGCCACTTCCAGGAAGAAATTTAAACCTGGCTGGTGAAGTTCGGGGTGTATTTTGGCTTGATTACAAACTGAGCACAGATTTAGACAAAGGAGATTTAATTAAGTTGGGTAAAATTAAAGGAAGGGTATCAAATACAAACTGGGGGTGGAGTGCCAGACTCCTGCTTCACATACCTCAGTTGTAGACTCTAAAATAACCTTGGGTAGGTAAACAAGTGCATGGACAGGCTGCATTCCAATTTTGGCTGCTCTGTCTGGACTGATGAGGTTACTGTTAATACTTAGAACACATGGTGATCCTACATCCAGTGGCAGCACTGCACAAAATGATTTTAGCAGACCTCAAACCTCACCTGCTCAGCATTCCTTTCCTTGTCCAAGCATATAGAACCTGGATTAGTGAACAGATCTACCCAAAGTTTCACTGCCACAGGCAGGTTAGTTACTCTATTTCTAGTCTAGGTATCTTCAACCAAGAAATATAAGATCTTTTAAGGACTGCTGAAGTACAATTCTTATGGATATGTGTCCATAAATTCACTGCAAGCCCTGTCCATTTTAGGCAAAAGCTTAAGGGCTCTTAATACTCATTAAATACTTAAGCAGAGTTTAAGTATTTCATGACAGCCTATTACTCTCACCTGGCAGTTCCATCTTCTCCAGGAAGACACCTTTCTCACAGCATAACAGCTGCTGGGGCTTCAGCTGCTCCCTCCCACTAGGTTACAACACCCTAAACACAAGTTAAGACACCAAAATACAAACTGAGGGGTTGGACACAACCTGAGCTGTAAACTGCATTCAAGAGTCTGATTTAATATCTGAAGACTCCTCTTTCCCCCTTTTAGCAAGGGCTAATAAACCAAAGACACCACTCAAAATAAACAGAACACCCTAAAACAAATGCAAAAGGACCACATATTCCTTTTATAATCAAACTCTAAAAACATAACAGCAAAAGCCGACTAACAAAGATTTTTAAAGTTAAAGTCTTTAATTCTTCTGCATAAAGGCAAAAAGCCAAAAATGTAACACATTCCCTTATTTACAATCATCATAAATCACATGGAAGCATGCACATTGGAATAACAAGGTTCTAAATATTACTTCTTAAAAAAAGTGCTGTACAGATGTGTCCCTTGCATACACACACTCTGTGCTCCGTGGTGTGTGACTGAGCCACCCTTGTGCTGGGATAAATGCCTGAGCATGCCTGGAAATAACGTTTTGAAACTGGGAGTAGTTTCTGGGGAAGCAGCTTACTTTCAAATCAGCAGCACAATGGGATTTTAGCCCTTGGGTACTGCCAGCCCCACGGCAAGACTGTGGCAAAAAAGCAAAACCAAACTCCTGCAGAGAGACAACTCCCAGCTCTAGCAGACATTGGTATCCCAGGACATGCTACACAAAATGCCACAAGGACTTTAAAGTTCCTGTAACTGGCACATGAATTTTGTATAAACCACTATAGCCACAGCTCTCACTTCAATCTTCTGAGCACACTGCCGGAAGAGTAAAACAAAGGAGAACCTATCCCAACACCATCACATTCCTCAGACTGGACAAGAGCAGCTCCACATCTGCAAATACTGCTTCTCACCCCCAGTTCCTGTAGGAACAGCAGGCACTGAAATCATCCTCTTACACTCTTTAACAGGAGACTGGCTCTTTGGGTCAGGCTGCAAAACATGTAAAAGCAAAATCTGGGTATTTAAGCTGTGCTACTGTTCTAGCAGTCGCTCAGCCCCTTCAAGAAAAGGATCTGATTCTGATAAACTATCCCCCTTTCCTTTTTCTTCTCTCACTTGGCTTAAGGAAATGCTATCTTAATACATCTCAGAGAACAATAAACAGGCCAAATGGATGACCACCCACTCCAAAAGTTCTGAACAGCTTGTCTTTAACAACTGGAGAAAGGTTGAAATTATCTACATTCTTCTGAAGCAGTTCTTCAGGCTGGATGTACAATTCTGGTCCAGTAAAGCAAAGGGACTCCTTGGTTTTAGGGCTGACATTCCTCAGTTTGACTGAATATTGAACCAATTCCCTGGTGTAACATTTAGGAGCAAGATCTCCATATGGAATGGCAGGATCCATCACCTGAAGTAGCCTTTGCAATGTGATGCACATGTCACCTGTGAATGCAGGGACAGCAGAAACTTTCTCACAAAAGCTTTAAGGAACATCCATTGTCACTGTAGCACAGGCTTCATGAAATCTGAAGTTTTACACTTGAGGCACAGCTTGTAGAAAACAATCTATCCTTATAAAGATCTGGAGAAACCTAAACAAAAAAAAACATATAACAGCATTTGATAAATATCTCATATATTCCTGAAGTATTTGTGAAAGAGAAGAGGAAGCACCTGAGCCTACCATTCCCAACCCATCACAAAATTTTCATCTAAATGTCATTATTAATTCATAGAATACATTTTTCCTCTTAATTCTAATTAATGAATTACTGATATATCTTAGGTGTCCTGCTGACTAAGGTTTTCACCTGGAAAGGAACCAGGTACATTTATATTTATGGACATTTAACTGTGTTCCAAAACAGCCACATTTATTTTTCCTGTTTGAGACAGAAATGTTATTTTAACAAAAAGGCAGGTGGTGTGGAATTCCACCATGTAACCCACTGTCTGGT